ACATTAAGATTTGTACTCATGGAAATGACTAAAGTAGTCAAACCTGTTCATTAGAAGGGGGGTGTCCCAATACTTTTGGCAATATAGTGTATTTTCTGCGAATGTGCGAGACTTTCAATTAATTCGCCAGCTTTGGTAAATAACTGGAAGAATAACAAAGTGGAGTAAATGATCAAACTATTCACGCTGCAAACCAGTGCATTGATAAATGTGACGAGACATTAAATATGATAAGAAACACCAATCTGCAATGCAGTTATAAATGGCCATGCTGCTCTTACGCTAAAAATAAGGTGGATAGCTTAAACTTCTGCATTTTCTGAAATGAATATGAGTTTTATATGAGGAGTTTTTTTTGTTTGTTTTTTTGCATTAAGTTCAAATAATGGTGGGACCCTCAAAATATCAAAGAAAACATAAGTAGGCCTATGTGTTTTTTTGGGGGGGGGATATATGATTTATGAGTGGTGGCCATGCATAAATCGTTATTTTTGTTCATTCAAAATTACACTAAAGGCATAAGAAACGTTTTCGTTATTTGAATTTTTTTGACTAAAAAATTTAAAATTAATCTAGTTGCCAGGGCAACATTTCTCATTTTGATTTAGGTAACTTGATGTAAAGTAAAACTGAAATAAAAATGAACTATATAAACATTTAAATTAATAATAACAAAAATGACAAAAAACGAAATTACCAAGACTTTAACTAAAATTAAAATGAAATCAGAAAAATAAAACAAATAAAATCTATAATAGTATCTCAATGATACAGTTGCTAAGTGTGTTTTAGGGTTACTTTATTACTCAGTAAAGACAAATTTATGGAATCGTTCTCCAAAGTGAAAGTGCATTAAACTTGAAGCAAATGTATGTTTCGTACCCCTTCTTTTTTGACGGTGGTTATATGATGCAGTGCCAGATTCTAGTGAACTCTTTCTGAGTTTGGATTCTGACCTGTGCAGGGGTCAAATCAACACATTTAGGGTCAGGAGATGATGTTACAATATCTGCATCTGTGCAGTTCTTTGTCATAAAGACAGTTTACAAAATATCATGGGGGAGCAATCGGTTTTCCATCTCCTGTTAAATGTGTGTGTGTGTGTGTGTGTGTGTGTGTGTGTGAGCGAGAGAGAGAGATCAGGATTCAGGAAGACTTGTATGGCTTATTCAGTACTCAAATGTTATACCTATCTATGCAGTACAGTGGAATACAATAAGTTGCAAAATGCAATAAGTTTACTTTACCACCTTACCCTATTAGTCAATCATTTTTTATTTTATTTATATGTTTACTATTTTTTTATGATTATTATACCCTCATTGGGGGCTACGCCAGAGCGCGTACACACCTCGCGCACCGGATGCCGTGCGCGCGCTCAAAGACAGTTGGACATAGTGGTGTATTAGAGGTAAAAAATAATGATATAAATACTGTTCAGTTTCTGGCACAAACCGATCGTTTCACGTGTTAGGACATCAATGTGTCATCACGAGCCGCAGGGTTTCATTTGGATTTGTCTGTGCATGTTTTTTTTTACACTCATAGACTTTGTTACCATTGCCATGCATTATAAGACTGATGGACTCCAACGGTTGGACTTAAAAATAATCAAATGTGTTCTACTGAAGAAACAAAGTCACCTACATCTTGGATGCCCTGGGGGTAAGCAGATAAACATCACATTTTCATTTTTGGGTGAACTATCCCTTTAATGGAGATCTATTATTGCTGCATTTGAATCAAGAGAACAGTAATGATTTTTTATTTATTTTTAATTAAATTATTTTTTCTTATTTAAATTTCGTTTTCTTCTTATTTTTTTTAATTCTTGTCTTATTTAGGCTATGCATTTGTATTTCCCATTCAATTCTATTTTTAATTTCCAATTTAAATTTTTTATTCAACACAAGGTGTGCCTAATGATGAATACCTTACACTATTGCTGTTTTTCTGATTAAATTAAGAGAATCATTTTTAGATTACAATTTATTTTTTATTACTTTTTTATTTTGATATTCTCTTCTATCTATTAATTCGGTTTCATTTCCAATTAAAATGGACTCTTGCATGTTTTATTTATCCCCCCCCCCCCTGTGGGAACAAACAAAATAGGCGCTTTCTTGCGTGCACTCATTTGTTTTTATGCAAGAAAAAAAAGTGCTACCATACCATACTGTACATATTATTAGTTTCTTATAAGTAATTGCATAATGCAACGCTGTCGTGCTCAGTCAAGGTTGTTGGTGTTTTTGATCTGCGTTGGTGCTTTTGTAACTGGCCCTCTTTCTCACGTGGTTCCTGCAACTGCACCAGCTTCTTTATGCATGTTCTTATTTAAAAGCATTAATTAACAACTTGATTTTTATTGACACCGGTGCGTGCATAACACGAGATGTGCATGTTATGTGTTATGTTTCATGACGGGCGATCAGTTGCATTCTGTGTGTTACGCATTTGCTGAATAAAGCTTTATTTAATTAGTCCGGATCGATGACAGACCGAGTGAATTTATTCGCACACGCATTGCAGCATTCGCGTTTGAACCCTAGACAGCATAAACACGCTGATGCAACGCGGAAGAGAAATTACGAGTGCACTGAATCTTTTTTGAACCGATTCCTTTCGAAAGATTCTGTCGAGTCGATTCGCGAATCACTGAACGAAGCGAGCCAGTTAATAGAACCTTGATCTTGAAAATATAGCGACAACAGCGGTGTTGAGCCAAATATTTATCTAAAAAAAAGGTACAATTTTACTATACATTAGTTCTATGCTACTAATGTAATTTACAAGGTTAGAAGGATTCACACATAATTTAAATGAATAATTTGTAGTGGAGCAGGAAGCCACGTCACGTTATTGAGTTTTTTTTTTAATTATTATTATTTTTCTTCAAATTCCCCCTTATTAAAGAATTTTGGTCAAAAGAATCTTGTCAAAATTCCTTGCCTCAAAATCCAGTTTAGATATTGATTTAACTATGCGTGATATATTCTGCTATTTTTCTCATTATAAACATAACAGAATATGTAGGAAATGTATTTATTTTGTTAGCAAAATAGCAATTATATAAATGTAAATTTTCCTCAGCATTACCCAAATTTACGGTGACCGAGAAGTGCAAAACAAATCACAATTCTGAAAACAAAATAACAAATTACAAACGCAAATGCAAGTCTAAAAAACAAAATAACAAGTCAGAAAACACAACAACAAATCAGACAAACCGGAAGAGGTAGGTATAGTTTGAGACAGCGCCATTGGTTTGGGATTACTCACCGCTGACTGGACGAGACATCTGTCAATCAACATATAGAGGAAGAACCAGCCGAAGAACAGCAGAGTCCTGGTAGAAAGTTCGGAGATGGTATTAAAGTAGTTTAGTTTAAATGTATTGTATGAATTGCCCTTACTATGGAATAAAATATACAGGGTGTCTATTTACATTTAGTTAAAAGTAGCTGTAAATCATCTGCTCCAGTGGTGCAGATGGATAGGTGCGTGTCATTAGCTTTTTGACGCAATCGACCCGGGTTCGATCCCGCCTTTTGCCGAACTTTTTTTTCCTCCCTTTTAAAATCTCGTATTAGCAATGGATTCTATTTACACTAAGTGAAAATAGCAGTATTTTTAGCAATATGCTATTTACACTAAGTGCAAATACCTATTTACACTATGTTAAAATAGCAGGATTTCTACTATCAAGTATACTACTTGTTGCAAATAGTGGCAATTATCTGCACTTCAGTATTGTAGTACATTATAAAACAGTATGCAATAATAACGTATTGAGTGTAAATTATAATTTTAATTATTAAATGGATGCCACCTTATTGGTACAATAAAGCCCTCCCTACACCTACCCTAACTGATACTTTATTTTCAACTTTTTGATTATTTCCTTAATTTTTATTGAAAATAAATGCCTTTACTATGTGATACGAGATTTGAAAAGGGAGAAAAAAAAAGTTCGGCAAAAGGCAGTATCGAACCCGGGTCGATCGCTTCAAAAAGCCAAGGGCATGCACTTATCCATCTGCGCCACTGAAGCTGATGATTTACAGCTACTTTTCACTAAATGTAAATAGACACCCCGTATTTTTTATTTCATAGTAAGGGCAATTCATACAATACATTTAAACTGAGCTACTTTAATACCATCTCCGAACTTTCTACCACGACTCTGCTGTTCTTCGGCTGGTTCTTCCTGTATACGTTGATTGACAGATGTCTCGTCCAGTCAGCGGTGAGTAATCCCAAACCAATGGCGCTGTCTCAAACTATACCTACCTTTTCCGGTTTGTCTGATTTGTCATTGTGTTTTCTGACTTGTTATAATGTTTTCTGAATTGTTGTTGTGCTTTCTGAATTGTTATTTTGTTTTTTAGACTTGCATTTGCGTTTGTAATTTGTTATTTTGTTTTCAGAATTGTGATTTGCTTTGCACTTCTCGGCCACCTTACAAATTATATAATTTTCTTTGTGAATTTAACTACCATGACACTAAAAAATATCAACAACAAAAAGAGTGTCAAATTTGTGAAACATATAATGATATGCTCAATGTTACGTATGCTAAATTGATTTATTACCTCTGCACTTTTTCTTGTTTTACAGTTTTTTCCCTTACCTACCCTATCCTTTATTGTCTATTTATGTTAGTCATGCAATGTTTAAATGTTGAGGTTATTCTTGTTATACTTGCAATAAAAAGTTTTTTATTTAATCGCTTTAATATAAATGTTATGTCTGTCTATTTATCTAAAATAACAGTTTTGCTGAATAAAAACTAAACGATCCGAACGAACCGATTCACTCCAACGATAGCGCTACTACGGCGAAGGCACGTTGTGAATATTAATGAGCCCAGCCTCCTATAGCTTGGCTTGGCTACTGAATATTAAAACTCCAAGCGATGACGTTCTCGGTAGCCGTCCAATAGCGAAGAGCCGCGCCTTCGCCGTAGTAGCAGGTGGTAGACAAGCTAGTAACGTTAGGTGAAATTTTCCACTACGACGCGATTAGTGACTTACAGTTAGCGCAGAGAACCTCCACTGAACCTCAAGACTAATTCAGGCATTCCAGCTCAGGACAGGCCTGAGGAACTAACTAACTAACTAAACCCGGGTAACCCTTCAAAACAGGCTTGAGCTCATCTAAAGCAACGCTTGCTTGCTTCTGTCAGCTTGAAGCAGTGATGGACTTCCTTGCTGGATGCATTGGAGGTAAGGCATTTCTACTAACTTTAGTACAGTAGAGTACAGTAAGTAATGATGTAATTTTACACGGTTAGATGGAGTCACACATGCTGAATTATTTGTAGAGGAGCCGGTGTTCCGGTGAATTCAGTTTCCCTGTCTCCCCCTCACAGCGCATGCGCAGCTTCGCAATGTTGCCAAGTCCGCGGTTTTCCCGCAGCAGTTTTTAGTAGCAATTAGGCGGGCATCTAAATTTCCCAAAAAGAGGAAACCAAAGATGCATAGAAGTACACACATCACATGAATTAAGTTATTGCTATTTGCAATTGTTCAATTTGATAATAATAATAATAATTTAATAATTGTTCATTTATGATACACCTCGTTAGCAGCTTGTACCTGTGATTGTTGATCAGTTAGTACACTGTAAGAAAAATATCTAGAAAAATGGAAAAGGTACTAGTTAATTTAATAATTGTTCATTTATGATACACCTTGTTGTACCTGTGATTGTTGATCAGTTAGGCACTGTAAGAAAAATTCCTAGAAAAATGGAAAAGGTAGGCTACTAGTAATTTTCCAGGACATTATCCGTTATCCATTTTAACCCGAAACACAAAATACAGTGCGTAATTTAAAATGCAGGTGAAAACCTGTGAATTCTTTTCTTTAGAGTGTAGCATACTGACTAATACTTGCTTAAAACTATAATTGTTCAGAATGTGTAGTTTTACTAGTTTACTAGCTAATAAAAAAACTTGTAATCGTTCAAAAATGTGTAAGTGTAAAATAATTAAATGTTAAAATATGTAAAAAATATTTTTATTTTACCATTATATTATGCATTATGCATTTATATTATTTTACGAACAAATCTAAATTAACATATAAAAATATATTTTGTTGTATTTTGTATATTTGGCACTGAGATTTGATGTAGTGACACAATTTTGCGACGTGATTACATAATGACGTCATCGCGCAATGACATCACAACGTCATTTAGCGACTTTTAGCAACAAATCGGCCTTCCTTTAGCGACTTCCCCTGAAAACTAGTTGGCGACACTGCTAAAATCATGACGTCATGATTTCGCCCCGGGCTAAGCAAGTCAGCTTATGGTGGTTTTGATGTCTTTCAACAAGCAATGTTCATTTCACCATGTTAATTAGATAATTTGTAATTAAATACGTATTAATGTACGTGACGTCCTGTTCAATCGCAACATAGAGTTAGATTTCCCTGCTAATTCTAACTTTTGCCTGTTTTATGAAGTGCAACACCATACACTATTTATTTATTTAGTCATTTAGCAGATGTCTAGCGACATACATTACAATTAGACAGTTAAATTCCTTCGTCAGGGGCGTTCTTTTGTTCAGACGCCCATTTCCATTTTATTGTTGTTGTTGTGTGTGCGTTTCTGTCAAACAACTTAAGCCTTGTCGAAATAATAACAAATAAACTATATTGTCCAATGACTAGTCTCTCTTTTATTATTTTAGGTAACTCAGAGTGATGCTCCATGTGTTTTTTAAATGCCATAATTATGTCTAGCCACTTTTATCTGCAGAATAGTGTCTTTACCAAGCGGCAACCTCCCGCTCTCTCTCGTGAAACCAACACGGAAGTGACTTAAACTGTAATTAATCGACTGGCCGCTAGAGGCTGGCTCCAAAAAGGAGTCAGTCCCATAGACTCCCCATGTTAAAATGCCCAACTTTATAGCAGAAAAAAACATGTTTAGAGCCTGGTTCAAAACTTATTTTGGTCAATATAGCTAATTTTGCCCTTCATGACAACTGTGAGGGGGGTGAATTTTTTTATAACTCATCCGTTTAAATTATATTAAGCCGTAAAGTTCTGCATAATTAAGGGCGTGGCCACTTGAGTGACAGGTGGATTGCCGCTGCTGTCACCACCGTCGAGCTAGGTGGGCGTGGCTTCAGCAACCAGCTCCCGCCTCTTTACCCATTTTCGATTATCCGGGAGTGACGCGCGGTGACGCGCTGCCAAGATGGCGACGGCCGGCTCCGCCAACTTTTGAGCTTCACAAACGCTCTTCGGAAACCTACGGGTGACGTCACGAACACTACGTCCATGTTTTTATACAGTCTATGGTCTTTACACTAAAAACACAGCGGAACATATCTTAAAAGATACACTAAGGTACACTTTTTTTTTTTTTACACAATTTCAAGACGTTCGGGTCTTTTTAATGTGAACAGTGAGTGCACAAATTAAACAGTGAGTGCACAAGTTTAAACAATGGGAAATCACAATCAAAAATAAATTAATCAGTTTTTAAAAATACAGTAGTACAATACAGTACAACAGAAAAGCAAATTTTCTAAAATATACAATCTTAGAAACACAAAAGTCAATACAAGTGCAATTTTGAAAACCAAGCAAAAACTATTTACAAAACTTTCATAATATACTGACTCGGATAATACACGCTGGGCAATGATATTCTTTATTGACTGATGGGTTGCCAACACATGACTGATGGTACCACCCGTCACATCCATCACAGGCAATCTGAAAGATCATACAATATGTTAAATAACCATAATTGTCTCAAAATTAGATTCAAATAATATGTAACGACTGCCAATTTAGCAAGAGCCAAACATAAGATAATACTAGGTTTAATTTAAAAAAATAAAATAAAAAGTCCCCAAACGAAGCAGGTGTTACGTCTGAATCACTTGGGTCATTGCGTAGTCCACAAAAATGACAGAGATCGCTTAAATCTCGTATATAAACAACATTTGTCACATTTATTAATTAAGTCACAGTAATATAAAAAACAAAATCCTCTTAAACAAGCTTTTATTAAATGAATTAAAAAATAATAATAGCATTTTTTTTTTTAATCCTTTAGTTCACATCGCCTACTTAAATGACAAATTAATATCTAGACAAAAAAAAATAAAAAATGTTGCATCCAGGTAAATCTGTTCCCCCTGTGTTTCCAATGTAAAGTGTTCTGCAGATAAAAGTGGTTAGACGTAATTATGACATTTTAAAACACATCAGGAGCATCACTCTGAGTTACCTAAAATAATAAAAGATAGACTAGTCATTGTACAATATAGTTTATTTGTTATTATTTCGACAAGGCTTCAGTTGTTTAACAGAAACACACACACACACTAACAACAATAACAATAAAATGGAAATGGGTGTCCGAACATCCATCCATCCATCCATCCATCTGTATTTTCTGTAACTTCTCTTTAGCTGTTGGTTTTCTATAAATGTAATTCAGTTTGTTGTTGAACTGTATGTTGAGGTAGTCGAGTCACGTGATGGAATTCCGCTCTGCCGCAAGTGGTTAGACCTAATTTATGACATTTTAAAACACATCAGGAGCATCACTCTGAGTTACCTAAAATAATAAAAGATAGACTAGTCATTGTACAATATAGTTTATTTGTTATTATTTCGACAAGGCTTCAGTTGTTTAACAGAAACACACACACACACTAACAACAATAACAATAAAATGGAAATGGGTGTCCGAACATCCATCCATCCATCCATCCATCTGTATTTTCTGTAACTTCTCTTTAGCTGTTGGTTTTCTATAAATGTAATTCAGTTTGTTGTTGAACTGTATGTTGAGGTAGTCGAGTCACGTGATGGAATTCCGCTCTGCCGCCTTTGAAGTATGCAATGTTACATTGTGACTGGTTTACTGCTGCTGAATGATGAACGTTCTAAATGTGGTTACAATGTCAACATGTTTCTTTGTGGTGAAAACTATGGAAGTTTGCTTCTGCAACAAAATTGCTACTTTTTTTTTATCTCAAAAAGATCTTTTTTAAATTCTGACCTTTTTTCTCAGAATTGCAAAATATAAACTCATAATTGGGACTTTGTTTCTCAAGTTTTGTTTTTAAAATAAATAAATAAAAAGGTAAATGCACTTTTTTTATCACACAATTCTGAGATTCTTTTCTCACAGTTGTGTTTATATCAAGCAATTCTGACTTTTCCTCTCAGAGTTCACATTTCTATCTTGTAATCCTGATATGTCGAAACTCTTGCATTTGTTTTCTCAGAATTGCAAGGAAAAAAAGCACAAATTATGAGATAAATAGTCAATTACCTTTTTCATTATTTTATCAAGCTTCCATAGAAATCATATCATTTTGAGCCAAAGCACCTTTTAGGTTGTTTGTAACATGTAGAGTATTTATGGTGTATACACGTTTTCTACAACTAATTTGAATAGGTATCATTTGTGCAGTATACAGTTTACTTTGTATTATTTATTCAGCATTCATTATAAATTCTATTCTAATGCAGATATATTATAGTCACAAATGTGACTCTGGAGCACAAAAGCAGTGTTAAGTCGCTGGGGTATATTTGTAGCAATAGCCAACAATACATTGTATGGGTCAAAATTATACATTTTTCTTTTATGCCAAAAATCATTAGGATATTAAGTAAAGATCATGTTCCATGAAGATATTTTGTACATTTCCTATCGTAAATATATCAAAACTTAATTTTTGATTAGTAATATGCATTGCTAAGAACTTCATTTGAACAACTTTAAAGACGATTTTCTCAATATTTAGATTTTTTTGCACCCTCAGATTCCAGATTTTCAAATAGTTGCATCTCAGCCAAATATTGTCCTATCCTAACAAACCATACATCAATGGAAAGATTATTTATTAAGCTTTCAGATGATGCATAAATCTCAATTTTGAAAAATTGACACTTAAGACTGGTTTTGTGCTCCAGGGTCACATATAAGCACTTAACTGGACAGATTTGGTCACGGATAGCGAGTCTGTAACCAACATGAGAGGAAAAGGTGAACGTTTAAGAATCAACTATTGATAAGCAAATCTGAATATTGGCTCAGGCCTTCAGGGTACTAAACAAACGCATTCAGATTCACTCACAGATTGTTTGAATATGATATAAGTTAGAAATACTTCAAATGGGTGCAGAGTGCAGACTGATTCCTTATGATTGACATTAATTGAATATGTAGCCTACAAGCCTCGTTGAAGTTGTCCTGTTCTCTTCTGTGAATATCAGTCATGCATGAGCTGCTGTGAAATGTGTTTTCCAGAAGAGCCCAGAATAGCCCCCTCCCAAACGCCTGTCCATGTCCCGTCAAACACAGAGGCGTCCCACACACCCCTGCGGGAGCCAATCCCAGCCACGGGACGGGCCATGTCTCTCGAAGCTCCTGCCGGCTCATGTTTCATATTACAGACACAGTGCTTCATAAAAGCTGGATAACAGGTGTCATTATGAGCCCAGAGCATAATTTTCCCTAAGTTTATAAATTAATAATTAGATTGTGGCTTATTAACAAGAGCTGAAATACAGCTGAAAAGTATTTTTCCAACTTGTACTAATATGCATAAAAACATATACTAATATATACCTTATTTATTTATTTACTAGTTGTTTATTACTGTGAGTGTATACACACACACTCGATAATTAATTAAATAAATGCATGTATTAATGTTGGTGCATATATCTTAATTTTATTGTTTGTTATTTATAACTACTATATAAATATAGATATCTATATATAAATCTTATTTTTATTTATTTATTAGTTGTTTTATATATATATATATATATATACAGTATGCGAATAGTTATAATTGCTTATATATATATATATAAATCTTAGATTTATTTATTACTTTTTTTATATATATATATATATATATATATATATAAAACAAGTAATAAATAAATCTAAGATTTATATATATATATATAAGCAATTATAACTATTCGCATACTGTATATATGATATTAAAGATAATAAATATAAAAGACATGTTGGGTTAAAAATATATTTTTTAAATCAGTAAATAAAAAATAAACAATCAAGGCATGTTTTTCATGCCGTTTTTCACTAAATGAGCAACACAAGTAATAATGATAATTAATGATATAAAATATCAAAATATTTGTATTTATTTTTAACATATAAAACATGCCACACCGAGAATTTTTGTTAACATTTTTACACAATGCAAAACGAAAGCTGGGGAAAAAAGCAATCAGTCTATTTAAACATTCAAGGCCTTTTTTTATCACAAGGAATAATGATATTTAATGTTTTTATGTGCACCGATTTGTAAATACATTCAACATTAATCAAACTTACTGACTATTAAAACATCTCTCTGAAGACTCTCAGAATTATATAAAAAAAAAAAAAAAAAGTTTAGCCTAGTTTTTGTATCAGCAGCAAATATACAGTACTGTGAATATATTCTGTATGTCACCCAGCCCTGCTCTGTAGCCTTACTATATGTATGTGTTTTTTGGTTTTACACAACATCACTGTCATCTAAAGTCAGACCTTGGCCCTATCTGACAACTTGAGTCTGTCATAAAGGACTAATTTTGATTGGTCAGGATGGACCAACGCCTTCAGTCCACACTGACTCCCATCAGCCCGAGCACATGTGAACTCGTCATTGCTCTCTTTGGCTTGGAGCAGTAACCGCTGATATGTAATACCCTGTGAGATACTGAGATATATCTCCTGTGAGATTTCCAGTCCTACATTAGCATCTTTCAATGATTGCCAGCCAATGACTGACTGTGTCGTTGTGCTAAATCCAACCAGATGGAAATAAAACACTGAAGATCCTGGAATTTACACTGTTGTTCATTTACAGCTGTGCTTATAACAGTTTTATGCAAAATTCAGTGCCAAATGTGGTCATGTGGCAATGCAGCACACAAGTGTAGGAAACGTTTTATACTAAAATGCCGTTTGACATGTATATATTTTTTTAAAAACAAGCAGTATATCTGATTTTTTTTCACAATTCTGAGAAGAAAAAAGGTCAGAATGGCAGGATGTAAACTCAAAATTGTGAGTCGTAATTTAGAATTGTGAGACAAACAAAATATCAGAAAAATTAAATATCAGAATTGCGAGTTATAAACTTAGAATTGCGAGATGTGTTCCGAGAAAAAAAAAAATCAGAATTGCGAGTTATAAACTTAGAATTGCGAGATGTGGTCTGAGAAAAAAAAAAACAGAATTGCGAGTTATAAACTTAGAATTGCGAGATGTGTTCCGAGAAATAAAAACATCAGAATTGCGAGTTATAAATTTAGAATTGTGAGATGTGTTCCGAGAAAAAAATATCAGAATTGCGAGTTATAAACTTAGAATTGCGAGATGTGTTCAGAGAAAAAAATATCAGAATTGCGAGTTATAAACTTAGAATTGCGAGATGTGTTCCGAGAAAAAAAATATCAGAATTGCGAGTTATAAACTTAGAATTGCGAGATGTGTTCCGAGAAAAAAAATATCAGAATTGCGAGTCGTAAACTCAGAATTGCTAGATGCTTTCGGAGAAAAAAAGATATAAACTCAGAATTGCGAGTTGTAATATATGTTTTCTTTTTTAAGATGTTGTGTTTGTTATTGTCTTTGTGTGGTTTTCGTGAATCCATTATAAAGCACTTTGGGCAGCTCTGAAGGCAGTAGAAATGTGCTATATAAGAAAATAAACTAAACTAAACTAAGAATTCAGAGAAAAAGTCAGGAATTTGAGATAAAAACTGCAATTACCTTTTTAAATGTTTTATTAAGTGACTATTCTATTCTATTTCCATAGGTATACAATATATATTGCTCAATATCTAAGCGTTCTAAACTCATATTTCTCTTTTCTGTGCAGGTGCTGCCGGGGTCCTCGTCGGACATCCGTTTGACACGGTTAAGGTTAGTAATCATCAACTCGTGTTGTTCGAACCGGCTGTTGATTTCTTAGGAACTCTCTTAAAACAAGCGAGCAAACAGTTATCATTGCTATTTTTGGCTGATGTTTAACGCAGGGAGCTTGTTATCTGTTGTGACACTTTACTCCATCCTATCCATTTCATGCTGAACCCTATGACTTAAAAATGACTTCTGTTGCTAAATAAATCAGTTTGTGAAAGCACATCATACCGCTTCTCTGCTCACAGGGTAACTAACTAAAAGTAGTGATGCAACTAACTGTTCATTTATGTTTATATTATTATTTTTCTATTATATTTATATAATTTTATATATATATTATATATATGTATTGATCTCAATTTCAAAAAATTAACCCTTATGACTGGTTTTGTGATCCAGGGTCACACACACACACACACACTCACACTCTCTCACACACCCACACACATACACACTCACACAAACACACACACACACACACAAACTAAATTGGTAAGTTGATTTAATAATTTAGTATCATTTAATTTTGAGTATAAATTTTGAATGTGGCCGTTTTTCAGTACAATTGTATTATTTATTTAGTGTGAATTTATCTGTTCAGGCTTACTGCTTTACATTCATTGAGATCTCCATTATTTTTGTTCCAGATAAGCACTGCTCAGTCTGCTCTCATTTCTAAAAAATAAATAATTAAAAATAATCACTCATAGCTTGTTTCTAAAGATTTTGCACCTATATTTTATACTCTATATTTATAGTTAGCTATTTATTTTAGTAGCTTGTTTTTCAACTAAAAGAAATGCATTGCTAACGAACAAACAAATTCAGGGTGAGTGATTGATAATTGAATTTATTTTTTTATTTTTTTATAATTTTTGCATTTAACTATTTATTTAGTGCATCACATGTACATGTATTTAATTAATTTTCTGACTTGAATTAATAATACTGATGTAAAAAATGTAAACAACACAAACAGAGTAATCTTTTTGTCACTTGTTATAATATTATACTTTTTTTTTTTTTTTCTTTTTCCACAAATATTTCTTTTTTTGCTTCTTTCTTATTTTACTTGTCTTGAATATTTAGGCCCTACTTTGAAGAACTTAATTGAAAATTATTAATAATATGCCTTTGTCTTTTAATTCTTTATATTTGTAGGCATATGCATTTTTTTATAGGTAGATAGATACATTTTTATAGTTGGTTTTGTTCAAAGTGAATGACTGTAAATGTGTTATTGGATCACTTCTTGCATGGTTTAAAACTAGGCTGCAACCAGCGCTGGTCTTCAACCACTAGACCACAATGGTGTTTCACCTGTTTCCATATTCAAAAGAAACTCTGAAGAACGAGCTCTTGTTTTCATGGGTTTGAAGTAGTGCTGGGTGGTATACTGGTTCATACCGAATACTGGTGTTTATTTTTGTTATGATATGAATTTTTTAAATACCGCAATACTGGTGTATGTCGCTTAAACAAGGTTCGGAACGCGACACTGTTTGAAAGGGGTCCCTTTTCACTGTTGCACTGTGGTGAGGGAACAGCTGTATGTGTTACTAAGCGTGAAAGTTCCGAAACTGAAGCTGTAGAACTAATAGAACGTGATGACACAGAAGAACTCATCCACAATATCCACATTGACCACCACAAATATCCAGCACCCCCTGCCATCAGCTCCCGCGTCTCACACACACACGAGTAGTTTGAAGTAATCAGGTTGTCTCTCCTGTAGGTTCGTCTTCAGGTCCAGAGTGTGGATAAACCGCTTTACCGAGGGACTTTTCACTGTTTCCAGTCCATCATACGTCAAGAGTCAGTGAGTGGAAACTTCAGTGGTTTTAACTACAGAACAAACACCTACACTCACAAACACTTTTATCAATATTTATTTCAATTAATATTTATTTTTCACTTTATTAATATTATTTAGTTGCATTTTAAAATAATTATTCTTTATACTTTAGTCAAATATAGTGAGTTCTATATTACTAACTTTATATATATATATAATTTTTTTTTTTTTTGTGGCTGTTCACACTTACACCGAAAACCAGATCTGTGTCGTGGGAAAAACTTTGCAATCTAGGTCGCGTTCAGTTGCGGTGTAAGTGTGGCCAAGGGTGTCAAAAGTCCTGAGGAACTGTACTTCAGTTTAAGTACAAAAAATGTCAAGTATTTTACTCAATTCAAAGTCTAAGTAACTACACCAAAGATACGACAGCTAAAGCAAAACATTTAATTGCACTTAAGTATTTAAAGAGGCAAGTGATAAGAGGCAGATTTTCTTTTTAATCTTTTTGATGCAAAAAAATATATATACACCCCAAAATAATACTTAAATGTAGTACTGAAGTACTAATACCAAATACAGAAGACTTACCATTGTATAGTTATTGAAAAGAATAACTGACTTTTTTTTTTTTTTTTTTTTAATAAAAGTTTCTCCTGGGAAAATATATCGAAATGTGAGATTGTATGTAATTGATATTTATTTATTTAGCTTGTTTGACCGACTTGATTTCACTCTGCTAGTCAATGTAAACACAGTTGTTGTTTTTTAAGGTTGTTCGCATTCATTTTTAAATATGAATCCTATTAAAGTCTGACCTCCTATATTAAAAAAAAAGAATCACACACAATTGAATTTATTTTGTTGTTTATTTTATTACAATATGCTAAATGTAATAAGTTTACAAATATTTTAATTAATATTCATCACTAGTTCTACTCATTTCTCAATTACGTAAAAATAAAAATAGTATTTTTTATTTTTCCTGATCCGAATGACATTAAAAGACAAGGCTGAGTAAATGTTAACAATCTTAATTTTTGGGTGACAATCCTTTTCAGACACAAACTTTGAACTATAATAATGTTTAAAGTGAAACTATAGTAATATAAATTTTTTTTGTTCTAATATTTGAATTCATATTTTAGTCATTTTATATTTGACTTTATTAATATTTATGATTTAAATGTATTATTATATATTATTAGTTACTTTTTTATAGTTTGTAAAATATTATTAAATAATTGTATATAATTCATTGAAGTATAGTTGGTAAGACTTATGCATTTTATTATTCTCGATTGACACAAATATAGTCTTTTATAAATGTTGATATGGCATAAAATGATAAATAGATAAACAGTTATTCAAATGCTTAACTTCTCTGGTGCTGCCTTTGATATCTGTGCATATGTGACCCTGGGGTCGTATTACAGAAAGATCCTAACTTTAAGATCTTATCTTATCTTATCTGTTTGGTAACCATGGTGATTTCAGTTAGGACCACATTTAAGACAAAAGCTATTACAGAACAGCGTTTCCTAATTGTGTTATCTTATCTTAACTACGGATAGTATTACAGAAACCTCCTAACTTGACAAAAAATCCTAACAACTGTCTTAGCTTTATGGTTAGGGTTAGGCTAATAATCGAAAATGAAGAACAGAGATGTTTAATGGTAGAAAGACTCTTGGAGGACACTGAAGATGTGTTACATTTTGATGACAAAACACTTATAAGTAATTACAGACTTATTTGAAACATTCCCAAACGCATTAACTATATAATTAAATATCTTGATTCTCACCTTTATAGATTATGTCGATCTATAGTGGGCGATGGTCAAAGTACCGTATTGGCCCGAATATAAGACGACCCTGATTATAAGACGACCCCCCTTTTTCCAGATGTACCTGAGGACACTGAAGATGTGTTACATTTTGATGACAAAACACTTATAAGTAATTACAGACTGCCACGTGCAACATATTACAGTTAGCACAGGAACTGCAACCAGCATTACTGAGACCAACACAGCGTCACCTGTTATAGTGCAAGTGACTAATGCCTTACACCGTGTCTACACTGGACGCGAGCGGCATGACAAAATACTATAGAACTCATCAGGGGTGTCATGCACGTATTATTTTTGAGGGGGCACGAGTTGTGGGGGGGGGGGGGG